TGACCAGCTTGCCTACTAATAGCAGCAATGCATTGTATGTAGGTTCTTGTTGTTGACATGGAATCATTTTTGGACAACTCTGACAACAGATGTTCAATAAGATCTACAAAAACTATATTTCCACAGCTCATAACCAGATGGCCAAGAGCAATAATGGTTCTTTTCCTCACTGCAAGTCTAGGACTGGTCAACTGAGGGAGCAGACAGGTCAGAATTGAAGGATGGAAATTAACAAGAAGTCCTCCTTGCCTTAAAACAAAATTAAACAAGAAAGAAAACAAATGAATTCAAAATGTCAGTTTTACTAAAATGTCTGGCCTCTGACCTCAATGTAAATACTCCGAGTATAAATTTAGTTAAGACTAACCCAAATTCAGAATGAAAGGAAAACTGAATTCTCACTGTCTCTACCAATGCAACTGAAAACCCAAGCTAAGTAAAGGCAGCTTTGAAATTTATATCCCCAAATTCCTAGAATCTAGACCTAAAACCCCAATTATAGGATATCCAATCAAGCTGATTGGGAATGCACTAAAACCAATTATCTTGTCACCTTTCTCCTTCTTAGATATTTAAATGATTTTCTCTATTGATTATAACTTTTTGGGGGGTTCACAACACTCAAAACCTCATCTCTTGATTCTTCCCTCTCCCTTACTGTCTTTCCTCTATACATCTCTATACTAAGTTTCATTGGTTCTATTGGTCCAACAGCTCTTTTCCAAAATCATCTTCACCTACATTAATAGTTCAATGAGTCACTAGTACTCAAACATCTACAATGTGCCAGGATGGTGCTAGTGATCAAATCACACGTAGGATAAAAAGTCTTAAATTTTCGCTGACTAAATTAAGTATAAATTCCCTATCGACCTGAACATGATCCCAATCTATCAGAATGATTTCCTACTACTTTTCTATTCATTCTATATTGTGGAAAACCAGAATACAATGTTTTCCCACTCCAACACTACTTATGCTGATATATTCTACAGCTGGGCACATCTGCCTATTGAAGTCCTACCCATTCTTCAAAATTCAACTGAAATGCTACTCTTTCAAAAAAAAAACTTCCTTGGATCCTCCCATTTTAAACCCCGAAACACACTATGCTACCAGTTAGTCTTTAGTCCCATTCTGCCTCATAGCCATTTGTGTTATCTCCTATAGTAAAGTAAAAAGCTCTTTGTGTGCCTGGATGATATTAATAGCTCCTCACTTTATACATACACACCCCCTCCCCACACGAAGGCATTTGATTATCTTTAAGTTGAAATGAATTTGCCACAAATAACATCCACAAATAATGATGATCTGTCATGATTATGAAAATCCAGGAAAAAACTGAAATTGACAGGTCCTTGAATGTATTTTCTCCTAGGAGTTGCTTAGGACTGGTCTATCTTCCAAAGTTTGACTTCCAAAGTAAAGTGGAAAGGCAACAAATGCATAAAAGCCGAGCTCCTCAACACCCCCCAACAAATGCAGTATAAACATGAAAATTATCAGTACTTTTTTAAACTGGAAAATTTGTAACTCCCACTGGCACATCTCCTTATCTAAGTAGATCACTGAATGCAAGAATACAAGAGTAAAACCAAACATAAACTGTGCTGAAAGATTTAAAATCTAATTTTATTAATTACTTTTCAGAACTACAAAACACGTTTGCTAAGCAGTATTACCTAAGTATAATTAGCTTGTTTCTCCCTTCACCTCCAACCTCACACATTTATAAAACAGCTACCATTTAAACACGAATATTTTTGGACCAAATTTTATTATATTTACCAGAAAGGATTTTTAATAAATGAATGAAATATCTGTATCACAACTAATGCAAATAAACAAGCACATTTACCTGCTCAACATATCAGCCATAATATCCAAGGCTTCTAGCTGAACAGAGACATCTTCCTGTTTTGCTATTGCACTGGTAAGACGTCCAGTAATCTTTTTACATACATTAGCAGCCAATGCAGAGCCTACATGAGTAAGAAACAAATAATCATTTCAAGGCAAGCACACTGAAGTCTACATGTATTCACAGTTTAAGTTACCAAATATTCAGCAACTCTACACTTGATCATGAGATTCAAGATCTATGCCAGAAAATTACAGCTGCTTTTCAATAAAATAACCTATTAGACATAAATAAGAATTAGAGATAACTATAGAAGGGGTATAGGACACAGGAGAAAAATCCCACAAGATTTAGCAGATTCTACTGGATAACTATTTCTATGTACTGGCATGAATGCTGCCTACAGAGCCAGTACTAGCTGTAGTGCTTGTACCTATAGATTGAAATGCAGCAAGGAGAGTTTCCTCTACTTGAGTCCTCTTTTCTAGTAAGCTAGCCTTTTAAACTTTAGTGAGTTAAAAAGCATATACTCTGAGTTCCAATACTCAGCAGTTTCTTTAAAAAAAGGAAAAAAAGCTATAACCTCTACCAAGGTCCTTTCCAACCCAAAGATTCCAAAACCTCACTATCAAGCAGAAATGATGTTCCAGAACTTATAAATCAGGGTTATTACTATTAAAGTAGCTCATGTTGTTACTGACAAATGAGAGGAAAAAAAGGAACAAGTAGCTGTAAAATAAGAATCTGAATGGTTAAAAGAATTCTTGTGAAAACCAGAAACTGGCTAAATGTAAACATGTTTCAGTAAAGAGGAAAAAAATAAAAATGTAAATACAGCTAATACAATAACATACTTTAGAGTCGGTGAAATGTTTTACTAAAATAAATACTTAATAAGGGTAAAATAACACTGGTATGATACAGTGGGAAAAACATCAGTTTTGGATTAAAAGATTATGGATTTGAATCTTCATTCAACCAGGTACTCAACATTTTGGTGTGAATTAACCTCGTCTCTCTGAATTTCAGTTCCCCCATCTACAAACTAGAAGGGATATTAAGACCTCCTATATGGTTGATGTTTAAACTAAATGAAATAACACACATGGAGTATTTTGCA